TACTGATCTTTTGGATCCCAAGGTGCGACATGAGATTGAGCTTCACATTGAGGAGCAAGACCCCTACTGCGTGACCTTTGCACCAGTTTGTGGACCCTGGGGATCATGGAGTCGACTCAACATGCAGAAGAGCGACATCACCAGGGAAACAATTTTGCAACAGCGTGATGCTTGGTACCCATGCCTGAAATGGATTGAGAAGATGGTACGCAAGCGCATGGCACGTGGCCGAAAGTTTGTGGTTGAGAACCCATGGCCCAGCGAACTTTGGGGAACCCTATGCATGGACAAGTTGATCACTGAAGTACCTTGTGATGCAGAAAGCCGAGAACCTCTTGAACTTGTCAGAGGAGATCAATGTGAATTTGGATTGAAAGACCTCCAAAATAGTTTGCCTCACTTCAAACCCACTGGCTTCATGACTGCGTCCAAAGGTGTGAAGGAACAAGTTCAACGGCGATGCTCTGGAAACCACATCCACCAGCCATTGGAAGGTGGAAGGCGCACGAAGCTTGCGCAACACTGGCCTGCAGCCTTGTGCAAGGCGATTATCAATGGACTTTTGGATGATCTGCACAGCCGAACTGTCATGGCCGCTTTCCATGAAGTTTCCAATGAAGAGATGGACTATGGCGAAGGCGAACTGGGAAGTTTGGACTTCATCTACGACGAGGATGACCTCAGTCGTAACCCAGTTTTGCCTGAGCGTGTTGACAACTATGAGCTGCTGCGACAAGAGAACCTGGAGGAGGCACCAAACCCTCCAGACCTGATGGAGCTTGAGGCCGACCGCAAGTTCAAGTGGCTGAGAATTCCAAGAGAAACCAGAGTGGCCATCAGGCGGCTTCATCACATGATTGGTCATGATTCCAGCAGTTCTATGTTGCAGTTGTTGCGGACGGCTGGTGCTTCAACCGAAGCTTGTGAGGCAGTCCGCCACTTCTCATGTGAAACATGCCGGAAACGAGAGCCGGTCAAGAAAGCCCCAATCGTGAAGGAGCCCAACAAGATGATTTTCAACCATGAGATTTCTGCTGACTGTTTTGAGATTCATGATACAGCAGGAAATCGCCACACAATTTTGTCAGTGGTGTGTTTGGGAACCTTGTACCACCAAGCATGGTGGGTTGCTCCTGGAGGCGTTCCAAAGAGCCGTGTTTGCGCTGAGATGCTCTTGAATGGATGGTTCCAACCTTTTGGATCACCTCGCATCTTCACCTGCGATCGTGGTGTCCACAACCGTGGAAGGGTCTTCGACCTACTGCGAATCCATGGAGTTCAAGTACGAACCGTTGGCCTGGAAGCACCATTTCAAATTGGACGCACTGAGCGCCAAGGTGGAATTTTGAAGGAAGTGCTCAAAGGTGTCATTGAAGAGCGCCAGATCATTGGTGTGAACGACATCAAGATGCTCATTGCCGAAAGCACCACAGTGAAGAACTGCAGGGTGAACCATCATGGCTTCACTCCTGCCCAATGGGTGCTGGGTCGATTGCCGACCGACTTCACTTCAGTCACTGCTGAGGAGGCTGAGAGCTACGCCTTGGGAGTTCAATCCGAGACCCTGGAGCCCGAGGACGAGTTTGCGAAGCAGCTGGAGATCAGGCAAGCTGCCAAGATGAGCTTTGCAAAAGCTGACAGCAGCAGGCGAATCAGAGCTGCCTTGCTGCGCAAAGCAGTGCCCTTGAGAGGTCCCTACTCACCTGGAGACCTTGTATGCTTCCATCGCCGCAACCGATGGCATGGACCTGCGAGAATTGTGGGAAAAGAAGGAAGATCCACATTTTGGATCATACATGCTGGAGTTCCAATTGTTGTGGCAGAAAGTCAGATCAGGCCTGCAACCACCTCTGAAGTCATGGTGAAGCAGATCCTTGAGCTGAGGCCTTCCCGAAAACGCAAAAGGGAAATCAATGAGGGCGACGATGAGATGCCATTTTCAGATGACCTGCATCTCCCGCATCTCCAACAAGAAGATGATCAACCGTCCTACCTGGAGCTTCCACATGAGCCAGGTATGCCCAGCTCAGAAGGTGCCGGTGCCCCCATTGCGGACCCTGCGGGCGTGGAATTGGGCGCTCCTCCTGGATTGGATTTACCAGTTGAGGTGCAGTCCCCACCTGGCTTGGATTTGGATTTTACAGCCGGTGGTCCCCCGCAGGAAGACACCAACATGTCTTCCGGTCCCATGCAACAAGAGGCACAGCCTGAATCTGAGAGGCCACCATCATCAGGTGTGCCCACAGTGCCCTCAACACCAGCTCCTCTTCAAGTACCACAACTTGGATTGAATGAGGCCTTGCGAAGGTCTGCCAATAACCTTGACGGTCACCATCTACGATCACCAAGATCGACAACCAATGCACATCGTGGACGCTCACGTTCACCTCACCGAGAGCCTGGGAACATTCCAGTTCCACCTGAACTCCAACAAGATGCTCAAGAAGAGCTTCGACAGGATCGAAGATTTTCTCATTTCATGGCTCACAGAGACTTTGATGTTTTCTTAGCCAGAAAAGCGCCAAAGAAGAAACGACAAGTTGGAGCCGGCCGTGAGCTGAACTACATGAAAAGCGAGCCCCATGTGCAGAAAGCCCTGAATGAAACGAGATTGAAGGAATGGAACAGCTGGAAGCAATTTCAAGCTGCCTATGTTTTGCCACCAGGTCCAGCACAGGATCAATTCATGGCTGACAACCCTGACTTGGTTGTGATCCCGAGCCGTTGGGTGGACACGGACAAGTCTGAGGATCCAATGAATCCAGCCTACAAATCTCTCCTAGTTGCCAGAGGAAATTTGGAAAAGACCAAGGATGGCAATCAAGCTGTCAGAACCGACAGCCCAACTTCCAGTCAGCTCTTCCTGCACACCATCATATCATACAGCGTCTGCAAGAAGCGACTTCTACGCGGAGGAGATATCTCTGCGGCATTTTTGCAAGGAACGAAGATCAAGCGCAAATTGGCGCTGAAGTTGCCTGCAGATGGAATTCCAGATGAAAGTGTGGAGCCAGGATCACTTTTGATCTGCGAGAAAAGTGTCTATGGCACCTGTGATACTCCCCGTGGATTTTGGAAGCAACTGTATGACACGCTGATGGAATGTGGACTGAAGAACGTACCGATGGAAACATCTGCATACTACCTGCCAGGTCCTCAAGGCGAAGTTCTTGGACTACTTGGCAGCCACGTGGATGATTTGCTCTGGTATGGAGGACCGGAGATGGATCAGGTGATGCTGGAGGTTCAGAAACGTTTCAAGTTCAGAATGGTCAACGCCGATAATTCCAAGGATGGCATTTTCAAATTTTGTGGTCGCATAATCAAGCAGACCAGTGAGGGTGTCACTATCACCTCACCAGAAGTGTTGGATCGTGTGAAGGCAATTTACATCGAGCCTTCCCGCAGAAAGCAACGTGGCCAAACTGCAACCCAGTCTGAAATTGGACAATTGCGTTCAGTCGTTGGAAGCTTGAGTTGGTACAGCCGTGTCTGCAGACCAGATTTGGCGTTCCAAGTGAACCAGCTCCAAGCGGTGCAGCAACGTGCCAAAGTTGATGATTTGCTGACAGCAAATCGCCTGCTGAACTATGCCCTGGAGACCCGTGAGAAAGGCGTGCACTTTCCAGCAGATGCCTTTCGCTTTGAGGATGCAGTGATTCTTTGCATCAATGATGCGAGCCATGCAGCGAGCGTTGATGCGACCGACGGTGGGCATGTCGTTGGTCACCGCTCCCAATCTGGGCGGATGCTTGCACTGGCATCGCGGGACTTCATTGAAAAAGGGTATGGAAAGATTCACCTTCTGCAATGGTCAAGTACAGTGATCAAGCGTGTTTGCAGGAGCACACTGCAAGCTGAGACCCTTAGCCTTCAACTTGGAAGTGAAGATGGCGAGCATGTGCGACAGATGCTCTACGTGGTAAAGAATAAGGCCACAGACCTCAATCGAATGGCGAA